GTACCAGTAAAAGGCATAACATCAGTAATAGTGACCATTGTGTTTGTTGAAGATCGTGTTGGGCTCAATCCATTGACTAATACACCATTAGTATTCATACATGTTAAATTATAACCAACTGGTGCCCCATTTTGATCTATTAGTGCTGGTGCAGTCCAGGTAAGTGTGACATTACTTAGTAAGAATGTTATATTAGTGCAATCCATGGGATAGCCTACTGGCACTATAATTATATAAAAAAAGAGATAGAGTGTGTGCATGTAGGACAGAAAAGTATTAATGAATCTAAAAGTCTTCTGACTTACATGCTGGCAGTGTAGTAAAATTCATCACTCCAGTGTGGGTTGTACCTAAACAGTTGCTAGAATCAATTGTAAACTGATAAACATTGTCTTCCTCAAGACCAGTCAAGACTATGTATATCATGATTGGTTTATCAACAGAACTAGAACTCATCCTAGTCATTGAAACTGTCTGATTTGCCTGAAATTGTTGTCCAGTATAACTGATGCTGTAATTTTCATTTGCATAAGAAGCATTTGGTATTATAAAGGATACATTAGCGCCTGTTGTTCCAGGAATAGCTGTTACAGATGTAGCTGCAAAGGGTAGAATAGTACCTGCATTAAGAGTAGAAAAAAAATCTAAAGGACATAGAGACATTATTCATATCAAAAATGTTTTATAATAAATATAACATTTTACACAATATCTAATTTAGCTTACAGGTAACATTCAATGTAAACACACCACTAGCCTCTTGATAGTCATAAGTAGCAGTGCTAGGATCATTGGTATTATTAAAACCAGTTACATTAAACTCAGCCATACATGTATACATTCCAGCATCTTCAAACCTCACTGGATCCAGTATTAGAGTATAGTTAGTAACTGAACCAGTATCATCTGTTGTGATACTGTATGGTCTATTTAAATTAGAGAGCATTTCTATATCTGTCTTGGTTATTTTAAAGAAAGTAATCAATGGTGTTACTACTAATCTCTCAACTGTTTTTATGGTACATGTTATAGTTAGACTCTGACCAAGTTCAAATGAACCAACTGATGAGAAATCTACTGTCATTGGAGGAAGACCTGGTAAGAAATAGAGTAAAGAGAAGATAAAAAAGAGACAAAGGATAAGGAATGTGAAGGAGAATGATGAATGATGGAGCGCAGTTTTCATTACATTATAACTTACTTTCAACAGTAACAGGAAGGGTAGTATTAGTAGGTTGACTTGATGCTATTAATGAGTTACCAGAATTGATGATCATTTGACAGGTATATGTTCCTCCATCATTATTAAGACCAGTATCAATAGGTTGAAACAATAGCATGCTTACAAGACTGCTACCAGTTGGAGGTATCACTTGACGTCTTGTATCATTAGTTGGTATTACATTACCACTAGGATCACTCCATACTACACTAGCAGTTACTGGTGTATCCACTATTGTAGTGTTTACTGTAGCTGTACAGGTTAGTAAGTAACTTGTACTCTCATATATTGGACCAGTTGGAGGATTAGGAAATACTGATACACTGGGAGGAGGTACTATGTAAGGAGAATAAAGTGCTTTAAATAATCAAATAATAATTAATACTAACTTTGAACAGTTAAATCTCTGTTATTCCGATCTATATAACTAAACACACTAATTGCTACTTGACAGTAATATTGTCTAGCATCAGTTGTCTTCACTGGATCAAGTGTAAGTACACTGGTGAATATATTTCCATTTCTAACAACAGGTACTAGTGTAGCATCATTGTTTTCACTAGCTACATCTTGAGATCCTTGTAAATAATAAGTCCATCTGACACTAGTAAGATTCTCAACAAAATTAGGAGGTCCGACTATAACACAAGATAAATTGAATACATCACCAGAAACAGGAACAGAAGGAATATTGATACTTATATCAACATGATTGATGTCAAACCCTATCAATAATAAAATATAATTTTAAAAGTATTAATATTTTACTTGCTACAGTTAATGTAACTGCACTGCTATTATCATTCCCTGCTATTATAAAAGGAGTATTAGGAGTCACACTAACTGAACAATTATAACTAGCACCATTATCAAGTTCATCTCTTAAACTATTAATACGTAACACACCAGTGTACTGATTATTAGTCATAACTGGAGGACTGATAGTAAAATCACTTCCATTGGTCAGTACAGTGTTATTTCTCCTCCAACTCATAGTAACACTAACACTAGTATCAATATATTGACTGATGTCAGCTATACACATAATATCAAGAAACTGTCCTTCTGCTAGTTCTCCATCTACTAAATGTCCAGTAGCATTATACTCAACAATAACTGAAGAAGTT